ACCTCATCCCTCAAGGATCCATCAACTGTGACCTCATCCCCTGAGGATCCATGGATTGTGACCTCATCCCTCGATGATCCATGGACTGTGACACCATCCCTCGAGGATCCATGAAATGTGACCTCATCCCTCAAGGATCCATCAACTGTGATCCAGTCTCTCAAGGATCCATGAATTGTGACCCCAATCCCTTGAGGATCCATGAACTGTGACCCTAATCTCTCAAGGATCCATGAATTGTGAGTTCATCCCTCAAGGATCCATGGATTGTGACCCAGTCCCACAAGGATCCATGGACTGTGACCCCAATCCCTCAAAGATCCATGAACTATGAACTCATTGGTTGAGGATCCATCAACTGTGACCCCATCTCTCAAGGGTCTATGAATTGTGACCCCAGACCCTCAAGGATCCATGGGCTGTGACCCCAATCCTTCAAGGATCCATGAATTGTGACCCAGTCCTTCAAGGATCCATGAATTGTGACCCAGACCCTCAAGGATCCATGGGCTGTGACCTCAGAAGACCATGTAGGGGACAGGTCCTCCCTCAAGGAGCCATCACCTGGGGCCGGTCACCCAGAAGGGTGGCAGCAGGTCCTTTCCTGGCCTCCAGCAGGAGCTGGTGGCTTTCATGGCTCTGCTGGGCAGAACCGGAGCAATTCCAGTGAAATTGCTTTTTATCAAGGAGTGATCATCCAGAAGGGAAAATGGAGGGCACTCTGTAGTGCAGAGGAGTGGAGTGTAAAGCACTTCACCCTGCCCTCCCCTCTGGGAGCAGGGAATGAATTATTAACAGGATTTATCGCCTCTGTTTCCTCATCCCAGGGCACAAACCCTCACAGAGAAACGGAAATGGAACCGGAGCTGTGGCTCCTCTCACCAAACACAGCAGTTACAGCAGGAAAAAATATTGATCAGGAGATTTTTACCTCAGGAAAGGCCTCAGGAGAAAATGGGCTCCAGCTGAGTCCGTGCCCAAGATGCTGCTGGGCTGGTTTGGGAGCCAGACCCCAAACCAAAATCCCACTGCTGCTGGCAGGCTGGGGTCCTGGAGTGGGGAATTCTGTGCCCTGCCCTGCCAGGGATGGCCCTGCCTCCCTGCAGTGTTCTGGGGAGAAATCACAGGCATTTGGGAGGCTGAGCATCCACCTCCTCCCTCCAGCACTAAAATCCTTTGGGCTTTCCCTGAAACCTCTCCTGGAAACAAACCCAAGCACAAAGCAAGCCTAGCTCCAAGGCAGAAGGGAAGAGAAAGGACACAATTCCCAGTGGGAGCAGCAGCAAGGGCAGGAGACACAGAGGTGAAAAATGACAACAGAGTCAAAAAGTGACCACAGAGGAAGCAGCTGCTCAGGAGGGAGGGCAAAAAACAAAAGGCAGCAGGAAGGGAGGAAATCCAGGCACATGCAGGAAATCCTGGGGGATTCCCAGCCCAGCATGGAGGGGATCCCATGGCTCATGGCCCAGCTGGCTCCATTCCTCCCCTCTGCTCCTCCCTGCACGTTTGAACCTGGGAATTTCCTTCCAAACCTGGTGGGTCCCTTTGGTTCTCCCATCTCAGCCTCCTGTACAGGAAAGGGACCAGGAGCATCCTGAGCCAGCAGTGCCACAGGAGCTGTCCCTAAAGGTTCTGGGCTCTGGATCCCCAGGCAGGGAAGGGCAGGTTTGCTTTCATTGCCAACAAACACCCACACGCAGAACTGGGATGGGATGGGATGGGGTGGGGTGGGATGGGATGGGATGGGGTGGGGTGGGATGGGATGGGATGGGATGGGATGGGATGGGATGGGGTGGGGTGGGATGGGATGGGATGGGATGGGATGGGGTGGGATGGGATGGGATGGAATGGGATGGGGTGGGATGGGATGGGGTGGGATGGGATGGGATGGGGTGGGATGGGGTGGGATGGGATGGGATGGGATGGGATGGGATGGGATGGGATGGGATGGTGTGGGATGGGATGGGATGGGATGGGATGGGATGGGGTGGGATGGGATGGGATGGGATGGGATGGGATGGGATGGGGTGGGATGGGATGGGATGGGATGGGATGGGATGGGATGGTGTCCCTGGAAGCCACGCAGGGTCCAACCCCTCCCATGAGCTTTCCTGGCCCAGCCATGAGCTCACCAGGGCCACAATGGGATTTAGCTCCAGGCACTGCCATCCCTGAGGAGTTTCCAGCATTCCCGACCAGCTCACCTGCCCCATGGGAACAGAAGCCCAGGAGATGCCTGGTTTGGTTTTGGGGTGTCCCAGGGCCAGGAGCAGCAGCAGCTCCGTGCTGGGCCCCTCTCCCAGCCCCAGCAAAGAGGCACCGAGACGCTCCCAAGTTAAACTCTCCATTTATTGGAACCTTTTACAAAAAACTCAACATTGTGCTCGTGTCGAAGGAGGAGTGTTCCTTGTCTCTCAGTTCCTGTTGGATTTGAAATCCTGGTGCTCACAGCACCGTGGGCACAAGGGGAGGGCAGGGGCCGTGTCACCTCGGTCGTTGCTATTTACAGCGGGAAAGGCCTCGCTCCGTGCCCGGGGGAGCAGCAGAAACTCTGGAACAGGGAACAGGGGCAGCTGCCAAGAGCCCTTCCCGTCTCCTCAGGGCTGGGATGGTGGAGGCCACGGGCCCCAGGAGCTGGGATGGATCATCCAACCAAACCTGAGCTTCGGAGTGACCCTGGGATGCCCTGAAAATCCCGGGAGAACCACGGGTGGGAGCAAGGAAGGATGTTTGGGATGGTGGCACGGGCAGGAGCACTCTCTGGAAAAGCCCCCTCTCCTCCCAGGTGCTGGCATGTCTCAGGAGCAGAAAGCTGGGTGTCAATCCCAATCCTGTACTCCAGGGGGTTCCGTGGTGTTTGGGATGATTTGGGAAAGAGCTGCAGCAGCTCTGGGAGGGGCAGCACCAGCCCTGTGGGTGGGGAAGATGTTCCTGCTGGCATTTCATTTCCCCACAGAATTCCATCCCTCCCTACGCTGCTGCTGCTGCCCAGGTATCTCCCAGGAGCAGCCTCTTTACCCCTTCACCCCAAATCCTTCCCCTTTAGGGGCACTCAGCAAGGAGGAATTCATTCCACAACACGCAGAGAGATCCCACTGCACATCCACTGCACATCCTGTCCCTGCTCCAGCACAGTGGACAGAGGGACCCTCCCAGCAAAAAAAACCAGCTTGGGAAAAGGCCAAAGAGAAGGAGGAAGAGCAGCTGGATTTGTTCTGATGATCCCTGATCTCAACTGGCCTCAAATCAACACTCAGCAAGGGAGAGCAGAATTCCCAGCCTGGGGCTCTGACTCCCTGAGCATCCTGAGCCCCAGGACACCCTGGGAATGCCAACGCTTCCCATCCCATCCCATCCGTGCTCCCCCAGGCTCTCACTGGAATAACATTTCCCTTTGTATTTGGAAAGCTGAAGGCTGCTGAGCAGTGCCTGTGCTGGATGTGTTGGATGAAGTTCAGTCCATCCCACATCACTCCGTGCTCCAGGAGGGCTGGGAAGGCAGAGCTGACCCCGGGCCTGGGCTGTGCCTGAGCCACGGCATCGCTGCTAATGAACCCCCACTAATGAGGAAGGAATTAAAGCCCTGGAGGAGCTCAGGGCCCTCAGGATTGCTGGAGCTGACACAGCTCCTGACCAGTGCCACATTCAGAGAATCCTTCCAGGTGTTCCAGGGCTCACAGGAGTCTCCCATGGCCTTTTTAAGGAGACTCTGAGACTTCACGTGCTGCATTTTGGGCATCTGATGTTAAAACAAAAAGGGAATGGAAAGGGGAAAAACAACATAGGAAAAGATTCCTTGATCCATTTTGCTGTGGTCAGTGGTGCTGGTGAAGGCACGAGCCGTGGGCTCTGCTGGGAACAGGCTGCTCCTTCCCTCCCCTTCCCACAGAGGAGGTGTCAGTGCTGATAGGAAAGCCTGGGGAGAGGAGTTTGGAGAGGCCCCAGAACGTGGTGCAGGAGGAGCACAGGCAGGGCTGACCTTGGGAATGAGCCCAGGAGCTGCTGCTGGACCATCCCTGCTCCCACACACCAGAGACACACCAGGATGACATCCAGGAAAACCAGGGACATCGAGGTGACCACACAAGTGTCACCTTCCCACCTACCCAGCAAGAGCTTCTCCAGGCTGCTCACAAACATCTGGGATGTGCTGAGGGTTAACACCACATGAGGGCCAAGCTCTGCCCTTCCCTCCTGTGCTCCCCTCATGTCCAGTGGGCCTGAGGCTGAGCTCGGGTGGTCACAGTGTGGCAGCATTTTGCTCTGGAGGAGAGGAACCAGCTCCAAACCCACGCTGTGAACCTGATCCCAGCAGCATCTGTGTGAAGATGGGATTCTGGGAAACTCCTGTTGGGATTAAGCCTCAGACACAGCCCAGAGCCAGGCTGTGAGGATGGGCTGGGGTTAAGGCAGCTGAGCTGAGGCCCACGGCAAACCCGACACGGGCACGGAGAGCTGTGGGATGGGGACGAGGCAGAGTGGGAATTGCAGCTCTGGCACACCCAGGCTGAGCACAGAGAAGGGTCAGAGCCTCCAGGAGCCCTGGCTGTGCTGCAGGTGGATCTTCCCTAAGCCCCAGACACGCTCCCTGTCTTTAGAGGATCAGCAGGACAAGGTGGGAAAGACACTGAGACAGCAGCAACTGAACCCCCTGGGCTGCAGCACAGGAACGGCACAGGGCCAGAGCTGGAGCCAGGCAGGACCATCCAGGCCAACCCCACCCCTGTCCAGGGGCTCAGGGTGGGGAGCAGAGCAAAGGGCTCCTCACCTGGTGACACCTGAGAGGCCTCAGTAGCAGCCACAGGCAGGAGCAGCCAGGATGTGGTGGGTGGGAAGGGCTGTGCCATGGCAGGAAGGATGGGGACAGCAATGCTAACAGGAGCTGCCCAAACACCTCCAAGCTGGCCTTGCTACAGCACCCTGGGATGGGCTGAAGGGTCCAGAGGGGAAAATGGGGTCGGGAGAGGGGAGGGAAAAGAAAAGAAAACAAAAAAAGCGCCTCACGTGGCAAATCTAAAACACTTTCATTTTAAATAACAATAATTATAATTAAAAAGAACGGCTGCCCTTGGCTAGCGAAGGGGCAGAGCCAGTGGCCAGCGAGCCATTCCTCAGTGTATGATCCGTGGGTGTGTCCTCACAGGAGCCACGGGGTCCCATTCCCTGTCCAGGTGTGTCCTCACAGGAGCCACGGGGTCCCATTCCCTGTCCAGGTGAGCCACTTTGGGAAGAGCCCATCCCAATCCAGGCTGGCCCATTTCCCACAGCCTTCTGCACTCACAGCCCACCAAAGCAGCCCCGTGCCGGCCTCTCCTGCCTCAGCTGGGAGCTGGCAGGGTCCAGCTCTCCCATCCTAGATGAACTTGAAGCATTTGGTCTTGTCGTGGGGCAGGCGGGTCTTGAAGAGGACCGAGTCGACGCGGAACTGGGTGTAGAGCAGGGGCATGTACCCGTACACCTTCACAAAGAAGTTGATGCACTTGTGCCGCTCGTGGAAGTGGGAATCGTCGTGGGACAGAGCCTGGGGACAGCCGGGGCAGCGGAAGGTCCAGCGGGAGGTCACCTGCCAGGAGGGACAGAGGTGTCGCTGCCATGCTGCCCACAGAGCCCAGCCTGGCACTGCCAGGAGGGACAGAGGTGTCAGTGCCACAGCCCAGCCAGGATCGACAGAGGTGTCAGTGCCACACTGCCCACAGAGCCCAGCCTGGGCACTGCCAGGGTACTCGGATACAGAGGGAACCTCAGCATGGGTTGAGTTGGAAGGGAGCTCAAAGCTCATCCAGTCCCACCCCTGCCATGGCCAGGGACACCTTCCACTATCCCAGGTTGCTCCAGCCTGGCCTTGGACACTTCCAGGGATCCAGGTTCAGCCACAGCTTCTCTGGGCACCCTCTGCCAGGGCCTCACCACCCTCACAGGGAACAATTCCTTCCCAACATCCCATCCATCCCTGCCCTCTGGCAGTGGGAAGCCATTCCCTGTGTCCTGTCCCTCCATCCCTTGTCCCCAGTCCCTCTCCAGCTCTCCTGGAGCCCCTTTAGGCCCTGGAAGGGGCTCTGAGCTCTCCCTGGATCCTTCTCCTCTCCAGGTGAGCACCCCCAGCTCTCCCAGCCTGGCTCCAGAGCAGAGATCACCAGAACCTTTCACCAGACAGGGAATTCAGTCTGATCAATCCTGTAATGTCAAACCTCACTTCACCTGCTCTGTGGCAGATTCCAAAGGCTGAGCTTTCCCCCTGGATCTGGATTTCCCTGGAGCAGACACCACCCACTTCCCAAGCAGAGCTTCTCCAGCAGTGCCAGCCCTGGGACAAGGCCCTGGCTGCCGGTGCTTTACCTTGATGGGAGGTTTCCTGGTCAGGTGGGACACCAGGAAGTTCATGGCGATGTCCTCGCAGTTGATGTACTCGTCCACCATGTCCCTGATGGCCTGGGGCATCACGTAGGAGTACAGGTAGGCATAGTACTGCAATGGGAAAGGCACAGTGTCCCCAGGTGCCCCACAGGTGACAGTGGGACATGTGGGGTGTGGCTGGCTCAAAACTCAAGGACCCCAGTGGAGACGTTCCCCATAATGGAGTTGATCCCACACCGGGATCCACAGCAGCAGCAAATCCCCCACAGCCACCACCCTCTCCTGGAAGCTCAGGAATGGAGGAATGGGGGTTCCAGCCCCCTCAGATCCTGCTCTGGATTCAGCATGGCAGGAACAGCCACTGGAGATCCTTCCCAGTGCCCTCAGAACCAGGTTCTGGTTGTGTTGTTTCAGTTTGGAGAAGGTGAGGGGGAAGGAGCAAAAAGCTCCCCTGTCGCAGACATCTTTTATGAAAAATCCTTTCTTTAGGACTTTTCCTCCTGAGAAGCTGAGAGGCCTCAAGAACAAAATGTAAACAATGATTATCTGCTGCTGTGGAATGCAACAGGTGCATCTGTGATTGGTCTCATGTGGTTGTTTCTAATTAATGGCCAATCACAGCCCAGCTGGCTCAGACAGAGACCCTGAGCCACAAACCTTTGTTATTCATTCCTTATTATTCTATTCTTAGCCAGCCTTCTGAAGAAATCCTTTCTTCTATTCTTTTAGTATAGTTTTAATGCAATATATATCATAAAATAGTAAATCAAGCCTTCTGAAACATGGAGTCAAATCCTCACCTGTGATGGTGGTCACAAGGGTTTCAAGTGAAGAGAGAGATGAGAATGTTGATTCCATGTTCAGAAGGCTTGATTTATTATTTTATGATATATATACTACATTATAACTATGTTAAAAGAAATAGAAGAGAAAATTCTCAGAAGGCTAGCGAAGCTAAGAATAGAAATAAATTAATGACAAAGATCTGTCTCTCAGCAGAGAGCGAGACCCAGCTCTGCCATGAGTGGTCAGTAAATCTAAACATCTACAGGACACCAATCACAGATCTACCTGTTGCATTCCACAGCAGCAGATAACCATTGTTTACATTTTGTTGCTGAAACTTCTCAGCTTCAGCAGGAAAAATCCTAATGAAAGGATTTTAATGAAAAGATGTCTGTAACAGTCACCTCTTACCTCAGCCTGAGACCCCTGTGAACACCGTCACACTCCCCCATTTGTCCTTAAAAAACCAAAAACCCCCAAATCTGCAGGCTCAGGTGTCTGTGAGCAGGAAGGGGCAGCCCTGGCGGGGAGGTCTCACCTTGTGGAAGAAGGCAGCACCAGTGAGCACCATGGAGAGCTCGCAGGAGTAGTTGGAGTTGTAGAGCCAGGACTGGTGCGGGATGTCCCAGGCGTGGTAGCGGCCCGGGAAGCCCACGATGCGATCCCTGGCCTCTCTCCACACCCTGCAAACACAGAAATGTCCATCAGACACTGACCTGGGAGCCCACCAGAGCTCCTGAGGGGCTGCAAGGGGTGCAGGGTCTGTACATAAAGGAGTTGGCAACTGCTTATCCAAGGAACACCCAAACAGCAAAGAGGAAAAGTGTTAAACGTGCTCCTGTCCTAGAGCACAGTCTATGTGCAGGGAAAGGGCTCCTAACCCATAAATCAGGGATTCTGTAGCTCATAAGGCCTGTTCTGGAGGTTTAAATGAAAACTAAAGCCAGAGCAGCCCAGGCTCAGCCTGGGAGGAGCCCAGCATCTCCTGGTCTCTTCCCCAAATTCCTGGGACTTTCCATCCCCCAGCAGCTCAGTAAAGCCAAGATAACATCAGCCTCCCTCAAGGAAAGCTTCAAGGCCAGGTTGGACGGGGCTTGGAGCACCCTGGGATAGTGGGAGGTGTCCCTGGCCATGGCAGAGGTGGGACTGGATGAGCTTTGAGTCCCTTCCCACCCAATTCCAGGACTCTGGAAATTCCACAATTCCCTAATTCTGTGAAAAGCTGCTGAGAGCTGAAGGCCCCAGTGTCTCCCGAGAGAAGACCTGGATTTCCAAGGTGCTGGCTCCTCATCCCAAACTGCAGCTCCCTGGGCTCTGGCCCCACAGGAAAAGCCTCCAGAGCCCTGAGTGCCTCCCTCACCCCGACACGTGCCCACAGCCCAGCCTTGGGAATGAAATCCTGAATTTTGCACGTGGAGCGTGGGATTGTTTACTGCTCTGCTCTCATCTGCAGCTCACGCTCCTCCAGAGGAATCCCCCAGGAGAGCTGCAACACTGGCTGCAATAATTAGGGAAAAAGTCAGTGCCTGATGCCTGAGCTGGGAAACAAACCCAGCTTGCACAGGCAGGGGTGCTCGGCTTCCTTTGGATCCTTCATTCCCCCTCCCTGCTGCTCAGTGCCCAAGCTGTGACCCCAGACTGCATGGAGAACTCCCTGTGCACACACAAGGGTTTTCCCTTCTTGCCAGGCACAAAACTGGGCAGTAAGTGCCATTTTTGGGGTTTTTCCCTCATTTGGATGTTTTCCCACAAGCCCTGTTCTGGGAGAGCTACAGGAGGAGAGCAGAAGATTCCCTGAGCTTTCCTTACACTGATGGAGCACAGACGTGTTTGTTGTTCACTCCTCCACCCCAATGAATGAAACTCCAAGATAATCCAAGGAATCAACACCACCAGCAGCTTCCCTGGCTCTGTCCTCCCCCCAGCACTTGTTTGCTGCAGTTCCTGTCAATCCAGGGTGATTGTTTAGAAAAGCTGGAAGTCAAAACCATTTATTCCCTTTCACTTCTCCCACATCTTCGCTTTCCTCCCAGGTCAGCCACTAAAACCAGGATTTCTCTGGAGAATCGTTCTGGGGGTGCTCAGAGAGCTGCCTCCAGCTCCCTCCTGAGTGGCAAAAACGATGCTTTTGGCCCCAAAAATCAAAGCCTGGAGCAAAGTTTTGACAAAGCACAGTTGCTGTGGGCAGGGGTTCACTCCAGCAGCTCCTGGGAGTGTGTTAACACAGGGAGGCTTTGTGGGAGCTGTGTGTCTGTAATCAGGGACATGAGTGAGATTAACACAGGGCACTTAATGACCTTCATTTGATGCTCTCCAGGGCTAATCAGCAAAACAGAGACCAAAAAAAGGGGAGAAAACAGCCCAGTTTGGATAAAGAGCCTGGAATGGGGCAGGGAAGGGAAGCCAGGAATCCTGACGCCTCCTCCTGCACTTTAATCCCTCTCACACCTCATTTCTCATCTCTCTGAGGGAGCCTGGTGGGTTTCCAGGCATTTTGTGCCTTTGAATCCCCCTCCCAATGAGGTTTTGGTCCCCATGTCCCACCCCCAGGCAGCTGCTGGGTGTTCTCTGATGGGAATGGCAGCTCCTGCTCCTTGAGGCTCCTTGTGGCTCCTTGTGGCTCCTTGTGGCTCCTTGGGGCTCCTTGGGGCACCCTCAGTCCCCAGCAGCTCCTGGCAGGGAGGGAGCTCTGGCTGCAGGAGCAGCTGGCACAAACCTCCCCAGCAGGAGCCCCCTCATCCCTGTCAGCAGGAGATTCTGGCAGCGAAAAGTCAGGGAAAGCTGGAGCTGGAGCAGAACAGGGTGGGAGCGAGAGCAGTAGAAGCTGCCTTTGGTGGGGACATCATCTGCTTTTGCTGTGGGACATCTTCTGCCTTAGGTGGGGACATCATCTCCCTTTGGTGGGGGACATCTACCTTTGCTGAGGGACATCATCTGCTGAGGGACATCATCTGCTTTTGCTGAGGGACATCATCTGTCTTTGCTGGGGGACATCATCTGCTGGGGGACATCTTCTGCCTTTGCTGAGGGACATCATCTGCCTTTGCTGTGGGACATCTCCCTTTGCTGAGGGACATCATCTGCCTTTGCTGAGGGACATCATCTGCCTTTGCTGTGGGACATCTCCCTTTGCTGAGGGACATCATCTGCCTTTGCTGAGGGACATCATCTGCCTTTGCTGTGGGACATCTCCCTTTGCTGAGGGACATCATCTGCCTTTGCCTGCTCTGCCCAAAGAACTGTCACACCCCAGTGTCACACGGAGCAGAGGGTGGCAGCCACCACCACCACCTGAGCATCATCCTGGCCTTGCCTCTGGCTCATGGATGGAGTGAAATCCTCTTGGATTTCTTTTCCAGGCCCTGTCCACTCTAGCAAGCCACAGACCTTAAAACCATTCAGGAACCATTTCAGCGTAGTAAAAACTGAAGAGTTGGGCTAAGAAATGTGGGAAATGGGGTTTCCTCACTGGGATCAGGTTCCCCACCCCATTAATGTGTGTTTCTCCACAGAGCAGAGCTGGGCAGCCACAGGAAGGGACATGCCAGCCCTGATTGTGTCCCTGGCTGCTCCCTGGGCAGATCCTGACCCTGGGGAGCAGCAGTTTGTGGGTAAGGCTCTGCCAGCCCTGATTGTGCCCCTGGCTGCTCTGTGAGCAGATCCTGGCCGTGGGGAGCAGCAGTTTGTGGGTAAGGCTCTGCCAGCCCTGATTGTGCCCCTGGCTGCTCCCTGGGCAGATCCTGGCCGTGGGGAGCAGCAGTTTGCGGGCAGGGCTCACCTGAAGCCGAACATGATCTCGTCGTGGCGCAGGTGGGCGTCGTCGTCGATGGACAGGATGGCCTCGGTCTCGATCTCGTCCCAGGGCAGGAACCGGTTGTTGAGGCTGTTCTTCTCCGTGCGCACCACCTGTGGGGGACAGGAACAACAGGGACATTTATGGGGCTGCAGGGAACAAGGTGAGGGTTTGGGGCAGGGCTGTGGTGGCCCTGATGACCTCCACGTGGCAGGGACATTTGTGGGGCTGCAGAGCCCAAGGTGAGTCTCAGGGTTTGCGTTGCTGAAATGGCTCCTGAGGTATTAAAGAGGCTTTTTTCCAAGCCCTGCGACTGAAGAAGTCGAGATTCCTCAGCTCTGGTTTTCAAGGTTGTTTATTTTCTCTTATGTATTATATTCTTTCTCCAACCTGCTGAGGTTTGTCTGGCAGGTTGGTTTGTGGCACACTGACCACCCTTGTGTTAGGTTTTTATACTAAATAGTTAGCTTTTTATACTAAAAACTACCTGTACTTTATTTACAATAATTTTCCAATACCTATCACCTATGTTAGACAGTCTGTCTCTACTCTAAACCAATACAGAATTGTCACCATCACAGCAGAAGATGGAGGCCAAGAAGGAGAAGGAGAAGGAGAAGGAGAAGGAGAAGGAGAAGGAGAAGGAGAAGGAGAAGATGAAGAGGATGAAGAGGATGAAGAAGATGAAGAAGATGACGAAGATGACGAAGAAGAAAGACACACCCAGATTCCTCCATCTTGCCTCTTGAACTCCCACTGTAAAAACCCCAAAATTCTACTTTTTCACCCTGTGATAAATTCACTCTCATTCTACTCAAACTCCTGTGGCTTGCAAATCTTCCCACAAAGTTGGTAATTGTTTCCATGGGCTAAAATCAAAGGCACAGGTGTTTGTGACTCTCTGCCAAGGTCTCTGAGCCTCCTGCCAGGGTCTGGAATCACCCAGGGCAGGCAGAGGAATATTCTGGGTTCTGACAGGTGAGGGTTTGGGGCTGGCCTGTGCCAGCTGTGGTGGCCCTGACAACCTGTGACATTTATGGGGCTGCAGGGGACAAGGTGAGAGTTTGGGGCTGAGGCTGTGCCAGCTGTGGTGGCGCTGATAACCTGTGGGTGACAGTGACATTTATGGGGCTGCAGAGCCCAGGGTGAGGGTCTGGGGCAGGGCTGTGCCAGCTGTGGTGGCCCTGCAGCTGCTGAATTGCTGCTGGTACAGTCCAGGGTAAGGAAGCAAAAAGGACCTTGGCATAATATCCACAATGTTCTATTCAGATGTTCAGGTGCCAGCACTCACCCAGAGGGGCTGAGTTTGGTTCTGACCCTGGTCTTGGGGCAGTACAAAGGTGAGATCCAGACAGGGAATAGAGAGGAGAGGCTCAGGGACACAGGAACAGACACAGGAACAGGGGAAGGAGCCAGTGGGGTCTGAGAGCTTTTTGAGGGAAGCTTCTTGTGTCTCCCTAAAGCAGGGAATGTCCCCCAGGGTGTCCCCAGTGGCCCTGGGGTGGGGAGTGCTCCAAAGCCACAGAGTGTTGGCTCAGCCCAGCAGCAGCTCCTGCAATTCCCCCACCCCAGCCACACAGCTGGAAAATCCCACTGAACTTCCCCCTCTTCCAAGAATCACGGAACAGAGTCATGGGGCTGGAAGGAGCACACCAGGATCATCCAATGCAGTCCCTGCACAGACACCCCAACCATCCCACCCTGTGCATCCCTGAGAGCATTGTCCAAATGCTCCTGGCACCTTTGGGAATGTCACATTGGGAATGTCACCATTCCCTGGGGAGCTGTTCCAGTGCCTGACACCCTCTAGGGAAGCACCTTTTCCTGATATCCAGCCTAACCCTCCCCTGGCCCAGTTTCACATCATTCCTGACAGCCCCACCCACCCTGGATCCTTTCCCCTGCTGATCCAAAGTCACTTTGTCCATCCCACATTTCCCAGCCCATTCAATCCCTCCAGTCCTTTCCCTGCCTCTGCTCTGAACAATCTCCATTTCAAAAATTAAGCCCAGCCCGGTGAAAAGACCAAAGCACCACAGCAAGAGAGCTCCATTAAATAAGATCACATCTGATCCCACAAAAAAGCCCACGCTGAAACCATTAACAGGGGAAATATTTGTATCGGGATCTGCGTGACAGCTGGGATGATTAAATTCCCATGGAAAGCCAGCCTTGGAGCTTTCATCTGCTGACAGCTCCAGGGGGGATGGAAAACTCAGCAGGAACATGTTGAATGTTGAATATTGCACTGAAGAGCCATCAAAAGCACCAACAATTCACTGCAAGAGAGCAAACTGGGCAGCTCCGGGCTGTGGAAAAGCAGGGCCAGAGCTGAGGCAGCAGCATTCCCACCCCAGGAGCTCTGTGGTTCCATCAGGACATGGAAAAAGCAGGGACAATGTCGAATTCCTGATCCTGCTCCTCCCCAAGGTGGAGAAGCATCACAAAACGCAGCTCAGTGGCTGAAGGGTTATCCAGAGGCAGCAGATGCTCCCAGGGGCTCCTCCTCTGCCTGGGAACTGCTGGAAAATGGGATGCAGGAATCGGGGTGGGGATGGGGTGAGGAGGGGAGCAGGAGGAGGCAACTCCACACTCCGTGCTCAGCTCTGGGAAGGACCTGGATCTGCTGGAGTGGGAAAACTCCAGGGAGAGCTCAGAGCCCCCTCCGGCGCCTAAAGGGGCTCCAGGAGAGCTGCAGAGCGTCACCGTCTCATTTTCTGGAAAAATCTTCTCTTTGCCCAAGATTCTTTTCCTGGGAAGCTGAGAGGCCTCAGAGAAAAATGAAAACAATAATTATCTGATTTGCTTCTCCTGTGTTTTGCTGCTTTGGAATGTGTTTGGACATTGTTTATCCAACAGGTGATGGTTTGATTGGTTTCTGCTGTGAATTGTTTTGACTCATTGGCCAATCATGGCCAAGCTGTGTTGAGGCTCTGGAAAGAGACACGAGTTTTCTTTAATTTGTTTTTATTATCTTTTAGCCTTCTGTAAGTATCCTTTCTGTATTCTTTAGTATATAATATATTCATGTGAATTGTTTTCACTCTTTGGTCAATCACAGCCAGGCTGTGTCGAGGCTCTGGAAAGAGTCACGAGTTTTCTTTATTATGTTTTTATTATCTTATAGCCTTCTGTAAGTATCCTTTCTGTATTCTTTAGTATATAATATAGTTTTATATATAATATATAATATAGTATTCTTTTATATAATATAGTATCATAAAATAATCAATTAGCCTTATAGGAACATGGAGTCAGATCCATCATTTCCTTCCTTCATCTGGGAACCCTGCAAATACAAGAGGAGAGGGACTGGGGACAAGGGATGGAGGGACAGGACACAGGGAATGGCTTCCCACTGCCACAGGGCAGGGATGGATGGGATATTGGCAAGGAATTGTTCCCTGTGAGGGTGGTGAGGCCCTGGAATAGAATTTCCAGAGAAGCTGTGGCTGCTCCTGGATCCATGGAAGTGTCCAAGGCCAGGCTGGAGCAGTCTGGGATGGTGGGAGGTGTCCGTGCCCATGGCAGGGGTGGGATGAGAAGAGCTTTGAGGTTCCTTCCCACCAAAGATCATTCTGGAATCCTCAAAGTCACCACCATGAACCTGCTGTGAGCCCCAGGGCAGAGGAGCTGGCACTGGGAGAGCTCTGCCAGGAGGGTCCTGTCTCCCAGAGTGGGAGAATCCCCCTTTCCTCTCCAACACCAACGCTGCTCCTTGGGAATTGTCTCCCCTCAGCTCCCACCCCCTGCCCTGGTGGGTCTCACCCCCAGAGAGCCCAGAGGGGCCATCTCCAACCCTCTCTCTGGCCTTTTCCAGACTCTGAGGTCTCCATCTCTCCCCCAGCACTGCTTCTCCTGCCCTTCCATCATTTTAATGACCAACTTTGCCACAACATTGCTCCTTCATGGCCTCGAGCCAAGAGCTCTGTCAAACCCCAAGGACAGATTCCCTCAGCCCTGGGAGTCAGCAGATTCCTTCCCAAGGAGATTCAAGCAGGGAGGAGGACACAAAATCCGCCAGAGAATCCCAAGAGAGACCCCAGAGAACAACAAGAGAGACCCCAGCCCATCAGCAGCCCCACCTCCCCTCACAGCACGGGCTCCAAACTCAGTGGTGGGTCCTGCACCAAATCCCAATTCATCCAGATTCAAACCCACCCCAGACTGTGCCCTGCTTGACTTATTTTGGTTATTTTTGACTTTTGTTTGGGACTAATTGTCTTTAAAACCTTTTGCCATCAGCTAAAAGGCCCAGAGCTCAAACCATGAACCTCCTGAGCAGTTTGCCCAAAGCTGAAGGCCCTGGCAGCACAGGCAGTCAGAAATTCTCCTTCCCAAGGAGATTCAAGCAGTGAGGAGGACACAAAATCAGCGAGAGAATCCCAAAAGAGACCCCAGCCCATCACCAGCCCCACCTCCCCTCACAGCAAGAGCTCCAAACTCAGAGCAGAGCACCAGTGGTGGGTCCTGCACCAAATTCCAGCCCCTCCAGACTCAAACTCACCCCAGACTCTGCCCTGCTCACCTTATTTTGGTTATTTTTGGCTCTTGTTTGGGATTGATTCTCTTTAAAATGCTTTGCCATCAGCTAAAAGGCCCAGAGCTCAAAACCATGAACCTCCTGAGCAGTTTGCAAAGTTTGGAGACACCTAAAATGCCTCCAAGCACCCAACAGACCGCATCAGAAGCTTCTTCTCCTTTTAGAAAATCAGTTCCAGGTGATTCAGTTCCACACCCTGGGATTTGTTTGATTTGAGGAGCACAAACCCCACAAATCCACAACATCCATTTCCTGCCAGCATTTTGTTGTTCACACACACGCTGGACAAATGGATCTTAAAAAAACCTGAGAGAAAACTAAACCAGAGCATAAATCCAGAGTCTGCCCAGCAATAATGTCCTTTTACCAATACTTTAAAACACATTTTTATACATAAACACCCAAAAAAAGCAGCAAAATCAATACCTTCCAGCAACCTCCTTGCTGCTGAGGCTTCATGCTTAAGCTTTAAATTAAGCTGTCACATATCATTGGATGGTGGAAACACGAGGAATGCCCGTGCCCTTGGAGAAGTTCTGACAGCTCAGCTCAGTGAACTGGATTGATTCC